AGACCCGTATTCATTTGCTGCAGTGCACATAAATAACGCACATTCATTACAGCTTCGCCCTGAGAATATCTTCAGGGGCCTAAACAATCCGGTCATCGATTCAGGCGGCCACCGAACTCAGCACCAGTCTGCTTCAGTAAATCAAGTGCCTGAGACCGGGCTGCAGGTCATGCAGCTACCGCACCGCAGCGGGCACAGGGCTGAAGACCAAACCCTTCCGAGCAGGGCCCTCCTGACTGTCCGGCAGCTATAAGCAGCATGAAGTTACCACCACCAGAGAACTGGAACGGCAGCAGCCCGGGCTGCACACAGCTGTGCCTCTCTGCAAAACCAAGGCAAATGGAGTGCAAAGGCTTTGCCAGCTGAAGCTTGGGAGAGGGACGTATCTCTACAAGGGGAAGCAGTTGAGAGACCAGCGAGACTGAGGAGAAGGTGGCAAGGAGGCAGGTGAGACATCCAGAATTGCCGAGAAAGGCTAAGCGCTGGCAGAGACAGTTGGAGCTACAAGGAGCAGCTGAGCCTTTTGCTTGATTATTTATGCTGCATTCAGGGGAGCAGGACTTTTTACACCCTTTGTGCAGACTGACCAGCACCAAGAAAAGCCTGCACTTCACCACCAGCTTCTCTCACCAGTGGAGACCATGTTCGCCACCCATACGCACAACCACCAAGATCAACAACGGTTAGCAGTATCTTCAAACTACGAGTGGCCCAACAGCAGGAAGGATGTGCACGCACTGTGGAGAGCACGATGGCTTTGCTCATGGAGCTACGCTGCTCAAAGTGGTGCTCTCAGGACTATGGAGGTGATAAGGAGACCAGGTCTCTTTCTGCTCACTCCTGTTGATGGTTTTACTGAATAGCACCTCGGGATGAGACCATGCACTGCTGTCTGTGCTACGCCGGAGGGCATCCATGCTCTGACTCGTTCACAGCTCCCTGACTTGAGGAGGAAGGGAGCAGTCCAAGCAGGACTGTCTCCACCAGTGATCAACACTGGGTGCTGTAGGTGACCCTGCTTCGGCAGGAGGGGTGGACTAGATGACCTACAGAGGGCCCTTCCAACCCCGGACATTCTGTGATTCTGTAAAGGACTCAAAACCACATCTCCCGAACCCCTCCTTGTGAGCAGACACCCTGGCACTAGACCAAGACCCGTTGGCAGGGCTAAGGAGACGTGTGTAGACAGGACACGTACTCTGCCACTTGCTGAGAC